GACAGTAAAAATGCTGGAATTCTTCTTCTTAAGTATCTCCTTAGGTAGGCAAGTGAATCAAGTTGGTACTTTAAGGGGACTAAGCCCCGTAAGCCAGAAAAATAGCTTATTAAACAATTTAAATGTACTACCAGTAAAAAATTATTTCTGAAGGCAACAATTGCACAAAAAATAAACACAATCCACATACTTATATATAGGTCTAAAATATTCAATACCTATATTACCATTAAAAATTAAATATAGAACCTCTTTAAAGATTAACATTACTTTGGATACTATGAGAACAAAATTTAGATTTATTATAACAAATATAATATAGGATTACCTAAGCATTACTTATTAGTTATTAGTTTAATTTTATGATGATATGAGACTTAAGTAATTATTAGGATACAATTTTATAAGGGCGCGTCATTGATGAAATCCCAACAAAACTATTAAAGTGAACTGGTGAAGGTATAAATAACGAGCTCGGAAAAATATGCAATGAAATGTACCTAAATGGGGAAATAGTTAAAGACATCAACAAAGGCATTATATTAGCAATCCCCAAGAAGAAGGGAATCATGGTCTGCGAATAATTTAGAACTCTAAATCTTAACACTCATGCATCAAAAATACTATAACTAGAGTAATTAAGAACAGAATGAAGAAAATTATAGATGCAAACCTCAATGGAAATCAATTAGGATTTAGAAAAAAATAATTTTGCAGTTAGCACTAAGGATAGTGTGTTATAAAAAAGCTTTAGACGAAACGAGGAAACCTTCATTGCCTTTGTAGATCTAGAAAAAGCTTTTGATAGGGTACAGTGGAATGAATTATTTAAAATTCTCAAAGGAATAGGAATTAAGTATTGAACGATAGGAGAGTTATCTACAACACATACAAAAACCAAACAGTGGTAATACAAATAGCAATGGTGGGCAAGTTAATGAAAATAATTAACTGTGGAAAGTTAAGTTAATTCAATTAAATTGCCTTCAGTTAAGTTAAAAGTTAACAAAAAAATAAAATTTAACTAGTTAAGTTAAAAGTTAAGATGGAAAATAAAATTAACTTAACTCAGTTAAAAAAAAGTTAATTTTTTTTTTAAGTCATAATATTAATAGGTATAGGCTGTTTTTAAATATTTGTCATTTAGTACCATTATAATAGTCTATTATTAAAATAAAATCAATGAATAATGATAATAGTATAATACTTACCAAAAATTGTTTCCATATTTATTTCGATAATGTTATTTTCTAATCGCATACGTTTATTTGTATTTATAACGAATACGGCAATATAAATTATAATTTATAAATATCTCGGACGACTTTTTGTTTTGTCTATTGGAATTGTCGTATTTACCAGTAACCAGTATATATTATTGATATAATGATATCCATTTAAAGACTATGATATTTAGTTTTAAACCTGTTTTTAGGAATTGGAGAGTTAGATAAAACAAAAATCGGATTATTCAATACCATTAAATAATATTAAATCATTAAATAATAGAATTCGTGAAAATAGCCAGTCGATACAAGGATAGTATACTAATTATTACTCTTTAGTCTTTACTATAGTACCTATAGATTATAATATAATTTGATTATTATGAATTGATGATATTATATTATTAGAAAAATAAATTACCAAAATGGCAAAATAGAAAGAATAAGTTTTGTCTCTTGGTTCCACATGATAAAAATTTAATTTAATTAACTTAACTGTACAATAATGATAATTAACTTTAAAAAGTTAAGTTTAAACAATACAAAATTTAACTGAATAAGTTAATAAGTTAAAAACAAAAAAAACTAACTAGTTAAGTTAAAATGTTAAAAAAAATTAACTTTTTAACTTAACTTTAACTTTTTAACAAGTTAATGCCCACCATTGACAAATAGTTGGGAAAGGAGCAGAAGCAAAAATAAACAAAGTGGTAAAACAGGAATGTATCCTGTTACCGATGCTGTCCAATTTATACATTGATGAAGTAATGAAAGAGCTAAGAACAGAAATACAAGAATGTGTTAGAATTATAGGGGGACAAACTATTACTGCCATAAGATAAGTATTGTGCTCGGAAAAATAAGAAAACCTACAAAATATCCTAATAGTGGTATATATAATACTAAAACAGAAGTATAGAATGCAACTATAAACAAAAATAAAATAAAAATTATAATTTGTAGTAAAACTAACCCCATACTCGACTCAACATAAATATAGATAATGAAAAAATAACGCAAGCACAACATTTTACATTTTTAGGAAGTAACATAATAGAGTATGGCAGCAGCAAAACAAGCATAAACTGCAGAATAATACAGGTGAAAAGAGCATTCGAAAAAAAGGCACATACTGACTACGAACAGCGTCAGCCTGACGACAAGGAAACAATTCTTAAAAAGTTATTTTTTGTCGCACCCTTTGCATGTGAAACCTGGACAATCAATACAACAGAAAAAAATAAGTTAAAAGCCTCTGAAATATGGTGCTTCAGGAAAATTTTGAACATACCTTGGACTGAGAGGGTGATGAATGAAGAAGTATTAGATAAAATAAAAAACAATCGACAGTTATGGAAAAGCATTCAATCCAGAACTATCTTAAATCGTGGTAGGTACATACATATTATACTTAGTATAAGGTCTATGACGATAATATGATATCATCTATCAAGTAAGCTCAGTACATGAAAAAAGTATATGGATTCAAAGCGTATATGATAATTATTTTTTTTGCATACTATATTATTTTCCAGGGGGGGAGGGCTAAATGGGCGCACTTGCAGTAGTACCGGTTACTATTCCAAGACTATATTAAACATGGCGACTAAAATATGTCATAATATTATACAGTGCGAATTCAAACGGCGTGCGGGGGATGAAAAAACGCACTCGCCGTTGTAAGTAGTCTTGCGTAATACTTTCGCGGTCGGTTTATCGCACCCTCGGCGCGCGATGGCCATAAGACTTCGTATATCGCGAGCGCATACCATAAAGCCGCTGCCGAGGGGTCGATAAATGCAAAGTTTACCGGCCGTCTGGGAACCGCCGGTCGCGTAATTAGGATAAATTATTCTCGTCCTCGGCTCGTGCCGGGCCAAAACCGCATTCGGATAATTAATTAGCTATATTATTATATTATTATAGCCGCACGCACGCGGCCCGTGTTTTGTTTTTGCGTTAAACGCCGCCGCCTTGGCTCGAGCTCATTTCCGCGAGTATTATATTCACATTATTGTGATATTTATTTTTCTCCAGCCAACCGCCGCCGCCGCTTTCTTTGGACGACGTTAACCACTCCGTCCGTAATTATTATATAATAATAATATATACAGTGTGACTATGACGGCGATTGCCAACATTAAAATGGAAAGCGCAGATCGCTTTATTATAATAATATTAATTATTACGACGATAAACGGCGGCACGCATATAAAATACGATATAACCAAGCACAAGGTGGCCGTTATACGCGTATTATACGTATTATATATTATGTGGGGAGGGGACATTTTTTTTAATACTTACGATAATATAGGCACCAATAAAAAGATACCCATGAGTTATCTTTTTAATAATAAAATTAACACCCCCGTCTACTATGAAAAAATCATTCGAATACCACAGCGATCACAAAAAAGTACGTCATATAAAGTACAACATTAATATATATTATTACGTAGTATGCTACCATAATATTAATGTCGATAATCGATCACTATAGTACATAGTGCGGTTTATGCTTTACGATTTACTGTACCCCATCATAAACGGCCGATTATTGTATTTACTTTTAATTAGTTAAAATAAGTGGCGTTTTATTACTGAAAACATTTTGTACATATCCTTGAATCATTATATCGGTAATGGGCCCGAACTAAGCGTTTTTTCGGAAAAATAAAAAAATACGAAACCAAAACATAATAGGTACAACTTGCAAATATTGTTTTATAATTTTTTGTACCAGGTTAACTAATCGATAGCTATAACAGGCACCTATTTCTACTGTTGTTATCACTTAATGATACTCATTCGACAGAAGACATAATATTCCTATATTTTTTCACATATAGGTTATCTGCAGAAATCTTCAACAAACTTATAATAATGAACTTCCTCGTCTTCATCTTTAGAAGAAACTTAAATATAATGTTTCAAACGTTTTCATAATAGTATACAGTTTATAGCGTAGGTTACATTAGCCTCACTGCTTTATTATAATCTATCTATTCGACTTATTTACGTGATTTTGAAAATATAAGTAGATGATGTGAGTGTAGGGTTCACACTTCACAAAACTGTTTTACTAAGTATAAAAGCCAGAAAATATGCTTTTACAGATTTTACGGATTACGATTTTGAAATCCTAGTAGTTGGTAAGTACTTAATGTTATATAACAGGGGTGGCCAACATGACTATGTACATTGTACATGAGCCACATGTATTAATAAAATTTTATCAAGAGCCAAATTATCTAATGTGTACTTCTATACCACAAAAGTAATAAAGATAGCAAACAGCCGACAAACATATTAAATTACGAAATATGAAATTATATCGTTTTTAATATAGTCTGTAGTCTGTGTTGAATAGTCCTATTGTAAACACCTCAATTTGTTTTGTAAAATATTTGTAATATTTAATAATTATATTTGTAATATTTTACCGATACTTATTGCGAAAGTTAGTTACGATGTCAATTTCTAAAAAAGCGGTTAAACGTAAATATGAAGAAGAAAAACGGGAATTTAAATTAGAATGGGAAGAACTATACTTTTTCATACAGAAAAATTATAAACCATTTTGTCTCATATAGTAATATGTCAAGTTACATTATCACAGTTTAAGGACCAATCACAGCACATTTAGGTAGTCGAGAATTTCCTATCGGTTTTCAAAATAAACTAAAACTTTTTATAAGAGATTTATAATCAAACAATTTTACTCACTTTTCATGTTTAAAAAAAATAGAAGCGTGCTTGATAGAATCAAAAATGAATTGTGACGACTATGTACTTAAACTTGAATTTCTATTTACCGACTTCGAAGAACGATTTGGAGACCTAAAGGCATTAAAACCCTCATTCGGATTTTTAGAAAATCCATTTTTAGTTAATGTCATTGAAAAGGGATGTCCATTATCACATCCTATCGTCACAAATAAAGCGGATCTCGAAATAGAACTCTCGGAGTTATTAGAAGGTCAGTTTATAAACAATTGTCTCTTTATATTGGAATTTTGGAAGCATATTTCTATATTAAAATACCCAAATATTAAAAACTGCGAGGTAAAATTGATATCAATTTTTGGAACGACGTATTCATGTGAATCACTTTATTCAACAATGAAAATAATTAAGTCAAAATATCGTTCAAATTTGACCGATGATCATCTTACAGAATTACTAAGAACTGCTCTTACATCAATTCAACCAGATCTTAAGAAGCTTACTAAAAAAGTAGACACGAAAAAAGTACCACGCAAACAAAATTAGCTTAATGTTTAATTTTTTTATTTATTATTCACATTAATTAATTTTTTTTTTGTTTGATTTAATCTATATTCTATACACTATAATACTATAGCCTTAAATAAATACAATAAAAACATTTTTTTTTATAAATGTATACAAAAAAAATTAAAATATTTTGGTTATTGTAAATAAGACCGCGGGCCGCATACGACTGTGACGAGAGCCGCATGCGGCTCGCGAGCCGTGATTTGGCCACCCCTGTTATATAATATCGTAAGTGCCTAATTTTATTATTGTAGTCAAATTGAGTGAAGCCTACATAATGTATTCATTAGGGCTTTTACCTTAAATAGGTGTGTAGTACCTACCTACTTATACCATATATATATAATAAAGCCGATATAATCATATACCTTAAGTTGACCTTATAATATATGTGCTAAATAATTATCAAGGCTGGGAATTAACAATTTAAAGTTAAGTTAAAAAGTTAATTTAATTTTAACTTTTTAACTTAACTAGTTACTTTTGGCTTTTCAATAACTTAATTGTTAACTTACTAAATTTCTTTTTTAATCTACGTGAAATAAATGAATTAATTTTTCATTTTAAAAAGTTAATTTATTTTGTTTTTAGTTTAATTATATTTCACTACTTCAGTCTATTTCGTTTTCATGTCAAAAAATATTTACCGTGAATTGGTTAATGTTAACAATTTATATCATTCGAATCTAACTTATATGGAAATATTGTATAAAGTATAAACACTATAGTAGTATAGTCTATAATTTAGTTTTGGGTTGGAAAAAAATTAAGTACCCAAGCCTTGTATAAACAAATTAACTTTTTTTTAACTTAATGAAAAGTTAACAAAAAATGTGTATTAAGTATAGGTTAACTTTTTGTTATTGATGCATATTAACTTGACTTAACTGAGTTAAAAAAAAAGTCATTAACTTGCCCAGCCTTGATAATTATTATGATATTATAATAGGTACTTATATGATTTAATACACTACAGTAATATTTCAATACTACGAATCGAAGGGTTTCTCGTTGACTTTCAAGACACTCTGTATATATCACTGAGTGGATTGCGTCGCTGTGGAAGGGTATAATTAATTTAAACCAAAATCGTTCTTTAGTCGCGTCGTATATTAGCTGTATCGAATTCACATAATACGTATTATACGGACGTTAGTACTATGAGAAGATTTTCCTATTTTTTTTTGCCGTTTCATTTTGATACGACGATTAATCAAATTCAACTTATTTAGACAACACCGTTCGGTGCATGCACAAAAAAAAACGTCTCGCTATTCTACGCTTCACCATATTATATAGAAAATAATTATCCAATAGTGGGTATATATAGACAAGTAGCGTTTATATAACCAAAACTAAAGTTAGGTACCTACCCTCCATCAGGTCATAAACTTGATACCTATTGGTTTGGGGTGACTTTGTACTGTGACTTCCTATTTTATCAGAATCACATATTTTTAATACATAAATTAATTAAGCCGTACTATTTATTAGGTATAACACTACAAAGAACGGTCGTTAAATCCTCAGATTACACCGCCGCCGCGTCGAGACTTGATAATAAACGTCCTAGCTGGTACATGGGCGTAATAATAATATAGCCGAGTTTGTTTCCTTTATATTATTATTACCTACAGATTAACGTGCGAACATATTCAATATAATATTATGTTATACGAACGGATTAATATACGTTTAGACACGACACGCAAAATATTTCTCCAAGTTATATTGTTCATCAGCCAGCGATATCATTTTAAAAAATCTTAAAATTGTAAACTACCTAATGTTGAAATTTTATGTTTAGTTAGTTTTATCAAAATATTGCAATCCATAACACATTTTCTATTAAATATTTAAATCCCAACGATAAGAAAACAAATTACAATTATTATTATTTGAATTATATGATATAGAAAAAGAGTAAATTAAAATTTGATAAAGTGATTTTATAAGTTCATATAAACATATAGTTAATCTTGATAATATTTTCTTTATATTAGTTATAAAAATATAAAATATGAACCATAATTTACTAAAATAAGTAATAAAATACAATATTCAAAAACAAAGATATAATATCCTTTTTCTGACCAGAGTAGAGGTGAAAGATATATAAGGTTTCGAGGAAATGTCAGGCTAATAATTGTTTTTTTTCTCCGTATAGTACAACTGACTCTTGGTATTTTTCTAGCCCAGGGTCACAAAAAACTCGATGCTTATTTATGTTAAATGCATTAAATTATGTTGTTTTTGTAATATTTTTAATAATTGGACAACTTCATTGTGGTCAGTTTGATAATGATACAAAATACTTAAGACCCTATCGATATGTGTATACCAGTCTATACCATGATGGTTATGGTAACCGACCCTGAGTTACGTGATTAATATAACAATGTTTAGGATCATTATTGATCAATAATATAATTATATGATTAGATATTTTCATATTACCTATCTTCAATGTTTATACTAAAAATGTGTAGGTATTGATAAACTACTATTTAATGAGGGAAATGTCATAATAAAAGAAAATAGTGAATTATACGCATCCCTATTTTTTGACAAGCTTTGTTGGACTAAAGTTGAATTAATAATGTTCTATTCTGATGACTATAATTTAGTTTTCTATGTCAGGGACTATTCAAGCCACCCGCTGTAGGGCACAATATAATAATTCGATTTTGTTTTCTGACAGACTACGCTCCAGGTGCCAGGGTTATTCTTACTTTAGATCCTAGTTCATAACGAAAATTAATCTTCCCTCGACCTTTGTCAGTTACTATTGTTCAAATATAACCCTAAAAATGACAAAAGGTTGAAAGAACTACTTAAAGTGTACTTAGCTACACATTTTTTACTCAGAAAAATCTTAATATTACATTCAAGCATAATTTATATAACTGTTCGCAGTGATACATTGCAGAGAGTTGAACAATTGTACCTTGAAACATAATATTTATACAGAATAGCACAAACAAATATAAACCAATCATCAACATATTTGTTTCTCTGGCAAATAATTATTTATGATAATAATTTATATCTGATTAACATTCATATGAATAAATAATTACTTATATTTCGTTGAATTTTAAATTATAAATCAACACAAAAACTTACATACTTTTATAATCAAATGGTATTGGTTTACGTATCAATCAATTATCTAAAGCAATAAAGCCTATACTCCCGTTGATAGATATTTAAAAACTATAAATATATAATAAATCATACCTACCAAAAAATAATTAATATTATAACAACTGCTTAATAATACTATCCCAAACTAAAAGAAAATACTTAAAAACATTGATTGTTATATGTAAAAATCGTTAATAAATAGGTACAATAATTAAATATATTATATTAAATTGAAAAATCTACTAAACGTTGTTTGTAACAGACAACAGAAAGTACACAAAAAAAAATAGTTTTCAACTTTGTATTTGATATTTATAAATACTACATATTTTGGAATAGTAAAAACTTTAAAATAAAACGAGGAACAAACCAAAAAAAAATAATTACAAATCCATTTATAACTATTTTATTTGTTAGATAATGTTATAATAGGTTATATACAATATTATATTGTAGTAATAGTAATTAGTAGCTAATGATAACGATTTATTATTTTAAGATATATTTAAAATAATAATACAAATATAATTACTTTAATAAAGTTATAATTATATATTTAAACAAATTAAAATGTATAGGTACAACTGATTAAGATATTATTCATTTAACAGGTTTAATAATGAATTTCCTGTGTAATCCAAAAATATAAATAGGTAAATAAATAAATAAATATAAATACAATAGAATTTTACCTAAATCAATAATTTGAATTCTCCCAGAATTCGATTTGAAGGTTTTCAATAAACATCCTTACACTTCTATGAAAATCAATAAACTTCTATACATTTTTAGTTGATATACGTATAAACTGTAAAATAACGAAACCATACTGTCATAAAAAATATATATATAATATAAACAATACGTATCGGATATTATATTATGAGTAATAAATTAATAAGTAATAAATATACAATACCATTGTTTTAAAATGTTAAATGTATACTTAACTACACAGGTTTAAGAAAAAAAAAAATGTTTTTACCAATATTTTTTGTGTATATTAAAAATGAAGTGTTCTCGTTTAAATGATTTATTATTAAAATGTTTTAGCCAAAAATGAATTAATCTGTAATCTTTAAAGTACAAATAAATAACAGACGATTACCTTTCATTCGAATTGTGTTTAATTTTAACTTATAACAATATTCGTATTACCGTTTAGTTGCAAATCGAACACGATTTAATAAAAAATCACATTCAATTAATATTTTAGTAAAAATATAATATTTAGCTGGAGAAGGGTACCACTAATTATTAGATATTCGGATAGATTAGTCTTCTACACAAGAACGTATCAAAATTGCCTATCTAACGCTCCGTCTAAAAAGACAATCACGCTATTTCTAATTTTCTGGAGTTTTTATCTCTTAATTTTTTCTTGTGAAAAACATAATTATTTAAGCCGTTCTAAGTGTAGTTTGAAAATGTCTGGATCGCGTTAATTGCATTAGGTATTGTTTAATTTAAAAGAAAACTTGTCCTAGTTGAAATAAAAAGTAAAAAGAAAAAGATAAAAATGTATAATGAAAGATGAGAAAACTATCTTCCAACATATACTAAATAATGAACTAAGAATATTATACATCATTATAAATTAACCCAGCCGTTCCGTAATGGATGTAGATGGTTTTATCATGGCACCGCAATGAGGGATTGAAATATTAATTTTTAGAAACATTAGAAACTATATAATATTTATACAACTGTTTATTATAAAAGCAGCCCCCATCAATTATGAATAAACTTTTCAAACACCAAGCTTCGTACAAACTAATAATACTTCAGACAACTAATGATATATATTTTTTTTCATTTGAAAATATAAT